GAGAGAGAGAGAGAGAGAGAGAGAGAGAGAGAGAGAGAGAGAGAGAGAGAGAGAGAGAGTTGGTTTTGAAATTGGCAGTGGTTGTGGGTAGTCTCCTGGACACAACATTTTTACCCCCGAAGCAGCCTTCCCAAACCTTGTTGTTGGCAATCTACCGAACCTCTTCATCTAATGGGAATGCAGCTTGCAAGTGGTCGTGATATGGGGTTGACTGATCCTTCAATGCTGGCTACCGGTACTTTCTTTTTTTTTGTGCTGGTTATTTCATTTTTTTCCCTCCCTTGTTTTTTTTATTTTTTTCCCTTCTTCCTTTTTATGTCCTACGTTTTTTTTTTCCCCGTAGGGTGGCTGCTCCTGCCAGAGGAGCAGACGAAGGCACAGATGACGAGGTCGTAGACAGAGAGCCATGTTTGGCTCTATTGCCAGAAGTCATCATTCTTCAGCAGGGCTAGGCTGATCTTCTTTGTATCCTTCCGTGTTCCAGCGTAAAATTCATTCCCATTTTTGGTAATCTGGAAAAAAGTTCAGCGTGGGGTTGGAAACTCAGTGCAGCGGTCTGGAGTTGGCCATTTCTGCAGTTGGAGTCCCTCCAACGCCTTTATCTGCACGGGGTAAAGCCCCCAGTTCATCTGTGATGGTACATGGTTTTCCGGATTGTTTGTTGAGGATTCCCCACCTCTTTTTGTTTTGTTCTGCTAATGACAATTATCTTGTTTTTGTAAAAAAAAATAAAAATAAAAAAAAATCTCGTAGAATGAACACTCCAACACTCAGCACTGTCAACAGCAACCGCAAAAGACAAATCGTGGCAGTGGATCTTTTATTTTTTTCCTTTTCTTTGGACATTTTCTCGATTTAAAAAAAAAAAAAAAAAAAGGGCTACAAAGCTTTAGTATGGGCCTCGCTCCACTCTCTCCACATCCACAAAAAACAAATCATGGCAGTGTATGTCTCCGTGTTCTAGCGGAAGATTCACTCTCGTTTTGCACATGCAGAGAGTAGTGGAGCGAGGTCATATATTTCCATGTCCCAAGCGAATCTGACCGATGTATCTGTCTTTTTTTTATTATTATTTTCTTGTACACTGAGTGAACGTCTCCAAGAGGAACAACCCCCCGCTCGTGCCGTTTTCAGAGGGAGAAATTTTCTTTCGTTTTCTCACCTTTTTTTTTTCTTTGTTTTTTTTTTTGATTCTCTAGTCGCCCGTTTCCGTTTTCTAAACGAGCGACCACCACGCATGCGTCGAGGCTGTACCGAGCCTCTACCGGGCCTGCCCACATCCTCCATGAATTCAGGAGGTGACAAAAGTTCGGTTGGGCAGGGTACTGGTGGTTTAAGGAGGTGTCAAAGGTAGAGAGTGCGTGTGGGATTAGATAGTGGAAATTGTGCATCGGGGGGGAAGAAATGTCTGAAAAGTTGCACTTCTGTTTTTCTTGCCTTGTTCTTCGTCCAGTGTGCATTTGCTCCAGAAAGCTTCCAAATGCATGTATTGTGTCGTGTAGTGGAGCGAGGCCTCTAAGTGTGTAGTGTGTTGTCAACTGCAGGGGCGATTTCTTGGACCCCAATTGCGGTCAGATACAGACCAACGAACGACACTTTTAGTTGGTTCTTCTTGGAAAGAGGCACGTACCTATGTGTGTGTGTGTGTGTGTGTGTGTGTGTGTGTGTGTGTGAGAGAGAGAGAGAGACAGAGAGACAGAGAGAGAGAGAGAAATGGCACCCCGTCCACTTGGTGACGGTCAGAAACGGAAGTCGTGGTCCATCAAGGCAAAGTTGGATATAGTCAAAGAGTATGTGCCGGGTGTTAAAGGGAAAGGGTTCGACATTGTTGGGAGGAGATTTGGGGTCGACAAGTTCACACTGCGCCAGTGGGTCACGCAAAAAGACAAGTTGGAGGAAGCTTTGAAAAACACAATAACGAACAGTAGAACACAACGCCGGCTTGGGGGTGGGGGGCGGAAGCCTGCGCATGACGAATTGGAGGAGCAGCTCGAGCAGTGGGTTTTGCAGAAGAACAAAAGCGGACTGAGAGTTAGAGATCAATACATACAGGCGAAAGCTCGAGTGATTTATAAGTTGCAGAAGAAGAAGGGAGAGGTGGAGGAGGGTGCGGTCTTCGATGGGTTGACGGGCTGGATGACGCGCTTTAAGAGCCGAAAGGGGTTTGTGTCACGACGACACACAACCTCAAGGACCTTGCCTTCCGATGCTGCAGACACATGCAGAGCTTTCATTGACGAAATCCACAGCGTCATTAACAAGCATAGCATTTCCCCGGTTAACGTTTTCAATATGAATCAGGTCCCGCGCTACTTCGAGACAGAGTCGTCATCTACAATTGCAACGCGAGGGACACGTGAGGTGCTGATGCGCAAAGCAAGCAGCTCACACAAACGCTTTACCGTCACTTTCACTATCTCCATGGCTGGTGAAATGTTGAAGCCTCACCTTCTTTTCGCGAAGTTGAAGAACAAGCCAGCGGTGGAAGAGTCTGTGGTTGTTGATGTTAACATGACGGGGATGGGGAGTATGGACACAATCATCTCATTCATCAACGACACAATAGCATCAAGAAAAGAGACGGCATTTAGCCGCAAGCCTGTTCTTCTGATCATCGATAGTTATGGACCTCATTTGAAGGTGGCTGAGAGTGAAAGGTTGAAGAAGATGAACATCCATGTTTGTATTGTCCCTCCCAACCTGACGGGTATTCTTCAGCCTCTTGATGTTGCTGTGAATCGGTTTTTCCAGCAATCTTATGGACGCCAGTACGATGCATACATCTCCAACGCTTCAGAGAACCCGTCCTTGCAGATTGGGTTTGCCAGTGGGTAAAAACGAAGACAAAGAAGGATATCACACACGCATTCGCAATGTGTGGTTTAGTGCGCAAGGAGGATTTTGATGTGGAGAAGCTGCACCCGCCACTGAGAGCATTGTAGAATGATGTGGTCGAAATAGATGACTGGAATTATGCGTATGCAGAAGAGTTTGCTGAGGCACCAGTCCCTGTGAATGTAGATTTGCTCACTGCCCCAAAGTACTTCATTCCTGAGGATGTGATTGACGGTCAGCAAAATAGTTACTGGCAATGCCTTCATCGGGTTGTGTTGGGTAGAGCACCGTCCATTACTTCTGCAGAGTTCCGGTCCAACACTGTGGAGCACATGAAGGTCATGGAAGTCCTTGCTGACATCACTGACGATGCGTACTTTGCTGATCTTGCATCGGGTGCGAACTGTGATGAGGAATACATAGCTTATGCCATCACTTAGATCCATAATGTGACTATTCGCATCCAAAGCGGGGAGGATTCAAGTTACCGGACTTTTGAGCAACCAGACGCTACGACCATAATTGATTTTGTGTGTGTCGATAGTTTCTATGTGCTGAAGTTGTAGGACAGCTTGGGGCTGAAGCTTCCAATTAGAAAATTTGAAAATTACAGCAGCCAGAGGGCTGCTTGGGTCTGTGGAGAAAGACCTGCAGGCTCTTCAGCCTGTAAGCTAAACTGGATGATGGTTCCAGTAAAATGGTTTATTCTGGGATGTGATGTAGAGGACCCCAGCCTTAAGTTTTTTTTTTTTTTTTTTTTCTTGGGACAACTGCTCCAATCTACTCGTGGGGAGCCTCACATGACCCTTAAGAAAAGCTGATTTTTTGTTTGGGGGGGGGGGGAGAATGAAACTGCTGCATTGCACATTAAAAGTTTTACAACTGGCACGTTGCACATTAAACTGAAGCATTCCACGTTAAACATTGCATAGCAAGTCATCCCAAAGGTTCACATTAAGTTTTTTTTTTTTTTTCCCCTTCTCTCTCTCTTGCTTGCCTAAACTGTGTAGAAGGACCTGGTTGCTTGGTTCTACCTCCGCAGTAGGAGGGTAGCAGAAAGTGGGTAAGTGGGGCACGAGGGAGCGGGAATGGTTTATTGGGACTATTGGTCTGGTGCCCGGGGGGTTGTTGTGTTGTGATGTGCACTGTCGTCATTTGTTTCCGGGGGCTGGTCCCCATGGGCTCTCTACCCGGTAAGCAAAACCGTAAGCAAAAGTGGGCAATGTTCCCAGCGTGTCTGTTTCTCCGGGTGACTGTGAGGATTCTGGCCTCATCARAGTTTTGTCAATATTTACCATAGTTTTATGGGGGGGGGGGGAATAACAAAAACACCGTGTAACTCTAAACGTTCTCCCCTGACTTCACGGTAATCAATGCTGGCAGACTATCAGTTGAGGTCCTTTTTTTTCAGATTTTTCTCAGCCAATTCCGTTTTACATTG